CTTATGTTCAAAGTTCAAATATCAATGAAGAACAATTACATAAACATTGTCAATCTCATCTTCCACCTCATATGATTCCATCAATATTTGTCATTTTGGAGAAACTACCTTTGAATGCAAATGGAAAAATAGATCGAAAACTTCTTCCTTCTCCCTCTTCCCATTTCTCTAATCCTCTACAACGGAATCATACAAATAATTTACAAATGAAAAAACCTCATGATGAAATTCAAATTACACTTCATACTCTTTGGTGTGATATGTTTCAACAGAAACAAATTTCAATTGATACAAATATCTTTACTATTGGTGGTCATTCTCTTCTACTTATGCAACTTTTTCATCGATATCAAACAACATTTCACTTAGAAAGAAAATCTCTCTCTGTTAGTGATCTATTTCAATATCCAACAATTATTCATCATTCTCAATTTATTCGTCAAGCTATCAATATTGAAAAACATTTTGAAGATTATTGGGCTTCTCTACATCTCATTCAAGGTAGATAAAAACTTTTTTAACATTTCAGTTTTGATTCTCTGTTGTTTTCGACACATTTTAGCTCCAGCATCATTTGCTCAAGAAAGAATATTTCTTGATGAACAAATTCGTTTTTCATCCAAAAGTAACAATGTAATATATGCCATTCCATTACTTTATCGTGTAGCATCTGTAAACAGTCATATATCAATTACTCGATTACATCATGCATTACAATTTGTCATTATGAAACATAGTATTCTTCGTACAGCACTTCATATAGATATTAATGGTATTATTATCCAACAGTGTTTGAATGTAAATATCAATAATGATGATATTAAACCATATGGATTTTCAATAATTAATCTTCATGATGATAAAGATCGTGACATTGATAAAACAATAGCTGAGATCATAAATAGCTGTAATTTATTTGTCTTAACAAAAGGATGTGTTATTCATTGTCATATTCTTCGTCAATATCATTCGGATGATAATCTCTCATTTAAGAATGATGATTTGTTGACTAAAGATGATTTAATATTATTTAACATTCATCATTCAGCATTTGATGGAGCTTCTTTATCAATTTTTCTTCGTGATTTCTCTCTTGCTTATGAGACTGATCGCTCATTACCTTTGGATGATAATGCATTGGAATACATTGATTATTCTGTTTATGAACATCAAATGGATATGACATTATCAAGTGACTTTTGGAAATCACAACTTCAAACATACAATCTCGAATGTCGTTTGCCATTGCCAACTGATAGGCAACGTTCATCGACTGATCAACGATCTGGTTTTGCTTCGGTAGCTCAAATCTCTTTCGATGATGAGATTTCCATAGCATTTCTAAACTATGCTTCTGCACAT